TTTTTCTCCGGTACCGGGAACCGAACTCACGACCTTGCACTTGCCAGGCAGGCGCTTTTGCCGCTGAGCTAAATCCCCAGCCCCGCGTATCCAAGTTGTTAATTGTCCTTAAAGTAGTGTAGTGCTTCTCGCTGAAGGATCCATGGCGGAGTGGTTCTCCTCGCATCCTGGTGGTACTTGGGGGCTCACCACCTTGCAGCTGTCTCCCCCCAGCTGAGTGACATTTCCGTATCTATCTCTGCTTCCTTAGACCAGGGTCACCTCCCTCCTACTGCTCTCAGGCTTTAATAAAGAATTTCCTGTCTGCCCTTTTTTTCCAACTCCCACTGTAATTCCTTTCATTCTTGGAATCTGAGTCATAAAGAGTTCCAGAACATATATTTTACTTAGGTTTAATGATGTTACTATCTTATGACCCTAAATTGCAGGTCCTTTCTCTGAATAATAAGGATTACTGCATGTTAATACGTACTTCTGTTTGAGTGGGAGTGTGAGGAGGTGGGAGAAGGAGGAAGGGCAGAGAAGGAGTGGTGAGGAGAGAGGGAAAGAGAAGGCAGTGGGGCGGGGGCGGGGGACAGCACGCTGGCCCCTGTTTGAACCGCACTGATTTGTTCTGGGACCGGACAGAGAGGACGTGTCCTGCATTCCCCGCAGTTCATTCACCACCTTGCTTCCACAACGACAGCTGTGTATTAAGTCTGTCATTTGTAATGGAGTTACTTAAGGGAGATGAGAGGGTAGGAAGGTCCTGCTTAGAGACTTTTACAATTTTATTTGAAGAAAATTTTGGGCTTCTTTGGTTGGCTTGATAACTTTTATGGACAAAAGAAATCACTGTTTTTTAAAAAATGCCCCAATTCAAACAAAGCTGTATTTCAGAGAGGCCGATATGTGATGGGATGAAGGCTCGGAATCTTGCAGATGTCTTAAGTCTGGCTCGATCAGCTAGTTTTCTTAGATTAGATGTTACAAATGCAGGCTTTGAGTTATTTCCTGGGTATGTCATGGAGATGCTATGCAGATAGGACCTTTGCAAGAACTGGAGGAGATAGCTGGAGTTTCTAACCCGACACCGCTGCTGCTTGCCTGACATTCCTTGACTCTTAACTCCTCCCCTTCCTCCTTCTCTTCTGTCTATGTCCTTATCCCTTAATTCTTTCAAAAAATGGATCGACTTACGTATTGGCCTCATGGACTTGGCATTTGTTCTTTTAAAATGAGAACAACCTGTGACTAAATCTAGTATTTAATAACTGCATGGCAGTAGGAATACCAGCGAGGCTTAGTAGTTGTCGTGTGAATACTCCTCAAAAGATGTAAGCTCTTGTCTAAGGGATCGTGATGATTATGCACACTGTATTAGTGGCAGAGTAACGCAGTATTTCCACATGTTGTTGCTTGGTAGTTTCAAAGTGGTAGTTTCAAAGTTATCAATTGGTAGTTTCAAAGTTATCATTTTAACATTAAATATATTTGAAAGTAAAAACCACTGCAAAGACGGCATATATATATATATTTTATATTCACTGAATTTTATATTGAGTGCAAAAATACATATCTTCTTAGAAATATGATGTTTGAGAAAAACTACAAAGTTATACTTTCTTACCTGTAGATCTAAGATTTGATGGAAAGTAAGAGAAGAACGTATTCTCTAGAGTAGGGAAAAGATCATCTCATTATCATGAAGACATTTTTAAATGTTAAGACTTACTGGGTTTTTATGTAAAGATAGGCAAGGATTGTATATTTATTGAAAAGAATAACATTTTGTAAATTTCTGACATCTACCTGCCTTAGAGACCTGTGATCTTTGTGTCCAAAGTTCACTTAAGCACCTTGTACTTTATAATGTATGATTTACTTACTGAATATGTCTGATACAGCGCAGAATGCAATAAGTAATACCACCTGAGGTGTATCATATTTAGTCTCCTTAATATGAAAAAATCTGCTTTAGTGATAGTGGTGCTATTTTATGCTTTACTGAAGCAAATATTTGGAAAGATATGAAGAAATAAAAATGAATTATGAAGTCTTGAAGAACTTGGTTGCACACCAAAACTTGCAGTAATTTATGAGTTTCAGATACTTACGAGACAGTTATCAGTTAAACTCTACAGATCATCAGATTTTCACTTAAAAATGGCAATTTAGAAGACTTTAGCTGTGACAAGAAAATAGTTACAGGTGACAGTAAGTTTAGGAGAGACTTTCCCTTGTTGATAGCCAGAATTCTGGGAATGCTTGCAAAGAAACTGCAGAACATTTGAGCAGTTTAGAAGTACACACACGGTATCTACAGTCTTCCTGCTGAACCTTCAGGGACTGTTACTGACCGTGGTACAAAATGCAGTTCTGTGTATAACGAATCTCTGAGGTATAATGCCTGCACTTTTTAAAGTTTATTTATATTTATCCATTTTTTCTCCTATCACAGGTTTGAAATAAAAATCAAACCCCAAGTTACTTATTGAAATGTGTGCTGTTTGTCCTGATCACAACCTACAGTAGTTTGCTAGAATGGTAAAGCTAACTGTCATAAGATGTCATCATAAAATGCTGAGGCTTCCTAATGCCTAAGCAGCACCTCGATCCCATAGGATTTTTACAAAGTCAGATGCTTTCAGGGCTAAGCCACAAAAATAATAACTTCAAGGAGGAAGGGGACCGATATTGTTCCAATTGAGAGTAAAGGAACAAAGAGGAAATGACCTATCTGGGCATTCTTGTTTAAAATATTATAGGAGTGATAAGCTAAGGACCTTCAGTATATGTAGAGGCATCTTGTCAAAAGCTGACATTCCTGAGACTATGGAGATTTTACGGTCCTTTACTTTTGTACGTACTCTAAGAGCTAAGTGAGGGAGGTGTGCTTGGGAGCCCCACTGAGCTCATGAGTGCTGTAACGCCAGACTGACATGTTCTATTTAAAACGTTCTTCCTGCTCCCCTGTAGTTGCTACAGATTCATCAGGTGGTATTTGCTTTTCTATCCATTATTGGAGTCTATTAACTAGTCACTTTTCAAAGAGTCTTAAAAATTTTTGTAGGTTTTATCACCGAAAGTGGAAGTGGTTTCTGATTTTGAATTAAGGGATCTATGTAATGTAAGCTACTAACAATAGAAGGTAACGTTTCTTGAAGCACATATGTATCAGGCCCTGTGCTGTGCAGTTCACGTGCATTACCTTACACTGACCTTTACAATAGCCCTGGGAAATACGTGCTTTTATCAAACATTTTATGAATACTCTGCTCTCGGTGGTAGTCAGTAGTGACCCAGTGAAGATATCTTGATCATATTTGCTAAGTAATGCCCTAGCATTGAGGCCAGGTGGTACGCTGTGGAAATTTTGGTCTCTAAGTGAGCCAGGTGTAAAGACACACTGGGGTTGTTACCACTCATCAGATTAACTGACCCAGAGCTGGCAGAAGGTTAGGACAAGCAGGTGAGGTACAGACGAGGGCAGGGCATAAGGGGTACAATGCAGGGGACATCTGAAGAGGGGCAAAAGGGGCATCCAGAAAATGAGGTTGTCCTGTGGCCTCCCTCACTGTTGGGTTTTACTGTGAAGGAGATCCGTCAGTCTTTGGTCAAACTCCCAGCTTAAAGTATGGCAGGCCATCGTTCATTCATAATTCCTTCCTCATTCATTCATTACGTATTTGTTTAGTGCCCGGTGTGTACCGGGTGCTGTTCTAAGCTCTGGGAAATAATTAACAGAATAAATTACAGAGGAAACCTTGCCTGCTCGCGAAGGGGGCTCACATCCAGATGCGGAAAGGTAGATGATAAGCATGACAAATGAGGGGCGCTGTGGAGGAACTGGGAGAGGGGTGTTTGTGATTTTAGACAGGGCCCTCCGAGTTGGCCAGGTGGTAGCCAGTAGCTAAGGACAGGAAGGAGCGCTGTGCCTGGGTATGGGCAGAACGGACCAGAGGGAAAGCTTTAAAGCAAAACGTGGATTCCTGTTTGTTAGATAAACATCACAGCGGCCAGTTAGATCCGAGACAGCAAAGGGGAGAGGAGCAGAAGATAAGGTCAGAGAGGTAAGAGGGAGGTCAGACCGCGGAGGTCCATGTAGGCCATTATAAAGAACTCGGCTTAACCTATGTGTACATTGGGGATCCAGTGAAAAATTGCCGGCAAAGGAAAGGCATGACCCATTTCAAGGAGGGTGTATTGTAAAGGACTCTCCTGGCTGCAGCGTTGAAAACGGACTGCAGAGGCTTGAGTAAGAGTGTATTAGAAGCTATTAAAATAATTGACGCGCTGGGCGAGTGTCTTCGGGCGGAGGCAGTGAGGGCTGGTTGGTATCTTAAAGGAAGTGGAGTGTGGAACCTGAACGAAGCTGAGCAGAAGATGACGCTGGCATGTCTGTCCTGTGCCGCTGGGATCATGGCACCGTCATTTAGTCCGCTCCGAAGGCAGGCCGGAGGAGGCGGGCAAGAGGTGGGGCTCGGGGCCTCGGCGTCACTCCCTTCCCCACAGCCCGGGAAGGAGTGGCCATCACCCTAGCTCTCTGAGTAAGGCTCCAGGGTGCTAGGTGCAGAGTTAGTGTTCTAATTAAAACCCAAGCACAGTGCTTGCTGACTTGGCAAACA